TGGAGGTGGTCTTGGGACGGATTGGCAGCAAATTGTGACAATTTGGTCACAGCAAATGCAATGTCAGGACGTGTGCCTAGCATGATGAAGAGAAGAGATCCAATTACTGATTGGAATTTCTTCCTGAGCTCTGGATCGACTTCATCCTCATTTGGCATTGGAACATATCCAGCCGGTAGAGGGGTCGCTGCGAACTTGGCGTTCTGCATCCCAAAGCGCTCTAGCACCTTGTCGAGATAAGGAATCTGATCAATCTTGATCGAAGATCCTACTCTACTGAGGCGCACGCGCAAGAACTCTGGAGTATCTTCAGAATTGCGGCATTCCCATCGCTTGTTGAACTCAGCCTTGAGAAAGGCGAGGAGCTTCTTGTTCTTGGAGAAGAACAGAGCATCATCCACATAGACTATTATGACGGCTATGCTGCCATCAGAGTCCTTGTAGAAGAACACGCCGGCATCCGATGTTAGTCGGATCCAGCCCATGGCTTTCGTGGACTTGGTCAGCGCTTTCCACCATGCTAAAGCAGCTTGTTTGAGTCCATAGATTGCCTTGTGCAAGCGCATGACTTTGCGCTCTTGGCCTCTCGCCACAAAGCCTTCGGGTTGTTCCATGTAGACCTCTTCCTCAAGCTCTCCATAGAGAAAAGCCTTACTGACGTCGAGTCCAGACCAATGCCAATCATTGAGCGCTGCAAGCGCCATGACCAACCGGAACGTCTCATACCTGACAACAGGAGAGAATATCTCGTCATAGTCAACACCTTCGACTTGACTGAAACCCTTGGCAACTAGGCGGGCACGTTTTCGGCCATCAGATTTTTGGTCAAAGACCCAGCGACATCTGATAACCTTCCGTCCTTTCGGACGGTCCACAAGGGAATAGACCTTGCGCTGACGAAGTGCCTCTAACTCGTCGCGGCAAGCATCAATCCAACCTTTCTGTTGTTCAGAAGGCAACCGCTTGATATCGCGGAACGTCCAATCGCGAATTTTGGACGTATCAGGTAGGTTCTCATTTGGAACCGCTTTTGACAGCAGCGCCGTGATGAGCTCTACTCCCCCTTCCCGGCATAGCTTCTCCATGCGTGCATCCTCGTCTAGATCATCAGAAGCACCCGCGTTTGAGGAATCTGGTTGCGAGCTAGGGCCGGGAACCCCTGCATCAGCACCGGTTGATGGTTGAGATTGGGAGCTACCCTTATCTTCACCAACATACCGCTTCCAGCCTCTGCTGTTCTGAATATCACGGACTATATCCGTAGGGGTACGCTTTTCCCCATAGACGTTTCCTGGACGTGTAGGCACATTCCGCTGGCGTGAAGACCTTCGAGGCTCAGGAGCTGGTGAAGCTTCCCGACTTGGTCGTGGAATTCTACTTCTACGAGTCCTCTGAGGTTCATCCCGACGCTCTGGCGGTGGGTCCTGACGATTATGACCGTCGTCACCATCATCATTTCCCTGTACGGGAGGTGGTGGAGCCGGATCAGATGGCATGGGAAATGGAAAAGGATTATCCCCATATAGCCAATCTTCTCCGTCTACCTGTGGTGGATCTTGTGGATTCACTGGGTCATCACGTTCTGGAAATTCCTCTCCAACAGGAACGTGGGGTGGTCGATTGCTGTCAGGACAGCGGGGGAACAACTCCTCGTCAAACAATGCCTTGGTGGCGACGAACGTGGAATTGTTTGTGCGCATGAACAAAAATCCTTTCACACCATCAGGAATGCCCAAGTAGGTCATCAGCTCCGATTTGGGCGATAACTTGTTGGCGCGCTTCTCATCAGGGATAAAGACATATGCAGCGCAACCAAAGACTCGGAGTTCGGAAACATCCGGTTTTTCCTTGTGAAGAGCTTCAAATGGAGTTTTCCATTTTAGACGCCTGATAGGTGTCATATTGTAGATCCGTGTCGCATGTTTAATAGCGAATTCCCAATAAGAATTAGGAAGACAGGCAGTGAAGCGCATGGCTTCTGCCTTATCCATGATCGTACGATTGAAGCGCTCGGCATGCCCATTCTGCTGGTGAGCATATGGAGCACCCTTCTCCACTAGAATTCCTTGTTCCACGAGAAATTCTTCCATTCCCATCCCCATGAATTCTCCCCCATTGTCAATATGCCACTTTTTGATGGTGACATTGAACTGGTTCTTGACCATCGCAATGAAATTGTGCATAGCCTGCTTGGCATCGGATTTCTGCGCAAGGCATACTGTCCAGCCATAGGAGAGTGCTTCGTCGAAGAAGCTCATGAAGTAACGGTACTTGTGATAAGACACCGTGGGAAATTGTTTGAGATCCGAGTGGATCAAATCAAACGGATTCTCCGCTCGTTTTTCGGAAGGCGGGAAGGCACGTTGGTGCATTTTCCCTTGCGCGCATCCTTTACACGGTCGGGTTTCCTCGGGAAATACTAGGTCTTCTGGAAAGCCCTTGGTATTCTTCTTTGCCTGACGTAAAACGTCTTTCGACGGATGTGCAAATCGCCGGTGCATGATCTCATAATCCACCTTGTAAACAGTGGACATGGATCGCACTGTCTCAGCCGTGCTAGGCTTTGACATCAGGAAGTACAAGGCAATGTCCTTCCCTAGAGTTCTAAACTCCATGATCGAGAGTGGGGACTTCCCTCGATGTAAGCTGATCCGCGATTTGTCTCCACGAACGCGAGATCCTCCTTTGAGTAAGGAGCCCAAAGACATGAGACGACCATGTAATCCTGGCACTAGGTACACTGGATATATCTGAGAAGTCACCATTGTCTTTTCTCCATGCCTTGTGACGTAATGATCGATGAAGGCTGTTCCTCGACCAATAAGGGCAACACGTGTGTTCTTATCAGCGGTCTGAGCAACAATAGGATCTGAGAGCTTCTCATATCCGACCAGATCACTAATCTCCGATGTCACATGGAGAGATGCACCTGAATCAAGAAGCCATAGAGGCCCTAATTCATGATGATGATGTCTCCCCTTACACTTAGAGCAGGCAGCAAAATCGGAGTGCACACAGAATAGATTGGTACAAAAACATGCGAACGAATCATCAACGAATTAAGTACAGAACCCGGGGCGGCGGTGATTACGCGCTCTGGCTGTGAGCAACAATCAGAATTGTGCATGTGCCCAAGAAGGCAGGGTACTTGCCTTTCGGCGGAAGGAGCGTCCATCTCCTCCAGAAGGGTGTTGAAGTCGATGACTTCATCCCAATTGACCGGTTCAGCCTGGGCGAACTCGCTATCTCCAAACAGAAGATCAAGATTGTTCTGTTGGCTGGTGGCCATCTCGACGTCGGGGATCTCCTCGATACGACTGCGTTTGGCAGGAGGACTACCATCCAGGGTGTGATTCGAGCCAGAAGCAACCGGAGATGGAGAACGCATGATTGCGTCCTCACGGAGCATTCCTTTCTCATTGACGATCTTGTCGAGAGTCCGGAAGCGTTCTGCGGTCACCGTCACATCCATCTTCTTGGCCAGCTCGAAGACCTTACAAGTAGGCTTCTGGAACTCGGTGTCAATAATCCCATTGTTGTTAACGGGAGACTTCTCTTGAACCGCGCGGATTTTGGGTCCATCGCGAGAGATGTGCGTGACATGCGAGATAGTCGGCGCAGGGATAGACGGAGTGAGTGAGGCGATCGAACCAATAGTGAGGGAGCCAGTGATCTCGGAGACTCCATGGACATGACTGTGATCAGCCTTGCCCTTGCCCTTGTTGTCCTTGTTCTTCCCACTGCGCTTGCCTCGACGGTTCTTCTTCTTTCCATCAGCCTTATCACCCTTATCGGGTGCAGAGCCAGAGCCCTGTTGCTGATTGGTGAACGAAGGGTCATCGCGCTTGCGCTTGGTATTGAACTTGGCCACATGATTCTGGCTTTGAGACTGCTTCTGAGCGAAATGCGTCAAGAGAGCGTCACGAACCGCCGAGACTTTGATCTCGTCCTTGTCATAAGTCTGTAGAACAGTCTCCGTGACAGAGGGAATCCGGGCTATGTTGAGAATGATCATCGCTCTGAGGAACTCAGGGATGCTCAAAGACTCGTTCTCCAGGCGAGCGAACGCCGTAGTGATCACCAGCAGCTGTGGATCAGGGTGCAACCCCACGTTGTACTTGGCGTTCAATGCGGTTTGGAAGTACGCATATAGGTCGGCGCACTGAGCACCACCGTATTGGGTCTTCAGGTGCTCCCAGATCTTGGCAGCTGACACTATGTTGGCGGTTGGAATGTTGGCAATGACTCCCTCAGTCAGGCGCAACTTAATGCTGCCCTTTGCCCTGAGATCATCATGCTTCCATTGCTTGATCTCCGATGCGTTGGTCACAGAGCCATCCGTAGCCTTGACTTCGGTTGGCGCGGTCTCGGTCAGCACGTATGAGATCCCCTGATGCTCCAGATAGGACTCCATAGTTCCGGACCAGACAAGCCAGTGCTTTCCATCAAAGATGGAGACAGCATTGAAGATGTTGTTGGAGTTGGACGACATATTGATCTGCGTGAGTTAATCAGCATCAATCTAATCTGATAGATAAAATCAAAGATCAAGATGATCAGATTCTCATAGATCATAATCTCCTTGAGAGATCGATGCATCTGGATCAAGCGATGTAATCGCGATCCGGCATGGTTTCACCAGCGCTGTGCAGCAGCTGAAGTGAATACAGATAGGCTAAAGACGCTGCTCATCGTTGCAGCCAGTGACGGCGCATACAATGAATGTCGCGGCCATTGAGGCGCAGACATAGCTCTCGGGGCCCATAACCTGTTGAGCACTGGGGAGAGCGTCTAGCAGCTCACCTGTGTGAGTGAGAGCTTAGTGTGGGCACTATGCGGGAGTAGTCAAGAGACTTGTATTATAGGGTAATAGAGCCCTCCTTATATACAATACAGGGGGCCGTTTGTGTCTATTTGGGACGAGTCGATATGACTCTAGATGACACGTGATGGAGTCATAGATATGTATCACGACATCCATCTGGCAGATGATAAGATCATCATTTGATCAACACCTTGGGCAGGGGAACGCCGGTGTTGTAGAGGCGGCTTGCGATTTCGCTGCTGAGTCCGCGCTCCAGGAACTCGATGAGGATGTTGTCCTGTTCCCCCTTCTTGTACTCGCCCTTGCTGTCGGTGGAAGTGACCACGTTGTACCCCGCGTCTGCAGCCAGCATTTCGAAGTCGGAGATGTAGTCCGCGAAGGACCGTCTGCCCTGGCGAAGGGCCATGAGTCGGGCTGCAGCGACTTGTTCTGCGTTGGAATCCCCAAAGGCCCTCTGAAGCTCCTCCAAGAAGCTTGTTGCGGTGACTCCCGCCTTTAGTCCTTGGAAGCCCTCGAAATTGTGCTGCTTCCAGTTCATCGCCCATCTCGAGGCGGCGCAGCTTGTGCCGCTCTCATTTCGGAGGTAGGACAGGACGAAGAGGATTTTTGTCTCGTCCAGCGAGAACTCCGACCGATAGGCACCGATGTAAGTGGTGCACGCGTCCACAAAGCCCAGGTACTTGGACTTGTCGCCATCGAAGTAGGGAGGATTGGCGGCGAGGGTGATGCGGTGATGTCCTGACATGGTAGGAGCAGGTGTGGTAGGTGGGGGCGAGGGTGGTTGTTCGGAGGGTAACTCGTCAAGGTCGGGGATCTCGTCTTCAGGAGGCGGGAGGGCGAGGTAGGGGTTGGAGGGCCCGGGTTGGTTTTGATGCGCCAGATCGGGCGACGATGGTAGGATGGGAGGAGGAGACGGACTCCCAGACGACGATGGGAATCGGAACGAAATGGTGGATTCGTGTGCTGTACAAGCACTCGAGGGAGGGTTCTTTTGCTAGCAAAAGGATCCCGGGCCTAGCTCTTCACGTGCCCGATGATCCCGAGGTGCGTTTTCCCGAAGGTCTCCGCAGCACTCCTTGTAGCTACCGTTAGGCTTGGGTCGGGCTCAACGTTACCCGTGGCCTGGTGCTGTTTGCTCGATATGAACCCTTCACTGTGATCGCAGAGGACGACTAGATGATTCGGTAAAAGGGTAAGTGGGGTGATAAGGATGAAGAGGATATAGCGGGCGTAGCGGTGCGGTGATGCAGGGTAGGAGGTAAGAGGTACGAGGGTATGAGGGGAGTCTTCGAATTATGTGATAATCAACAAGAAATAATGTCGAAAAGAGAACTGAATTCGAAGACTGGGGAATACAACCAAGTAGCTACAGTATTTATACCCAAATCCAGTCTGAGTCATATCTACAACTAATGAGTCATAGGGCTATGTACCGCATGGAGCACTGGTCATGGGTTGTAGTAGAACCTTCTGGAGCATATGTCGCGCAGCCTCGAATCGATAGAGATAACCCCTGGAACCCCTAGCCCGGACCGTCTGATGCCGTGATCCGTGATAAGATAAGTCGTGCCAAGATAAGATAAGATCGTCGATGATAAGATGAAAAAGAGTCGAGTTATGACAGTCATTGCTGTTGCCTTCCATTGCTCATTGTCCATCATATTCTGCAAGCCCGACCTTGTTCAGATACTTTGCATCACAAACCTTTCTATGGCAGTTTCTGACATGCTCACAGCAGCAACAGGTGTGTCAACACATCCAAGCTATGGACAAGGCATGCATATGCTTGGGCTCCTCAGTGTCTCGAATATATGTCCAAGCAGCAGCGGCCAGAATCTGCACACAACTTTTGGCCAAAAATGAGAGCCACACAATCATGGGTGACATCACCAAACACACAACATACGGAGTGATATTGAGCAGGCAGACTAATGAATGTGAGAATTAACTTGAAAAAGCAAGTGGTATTACATTTTAGTTTATGATTCCTATGTCATGGAGTAGATTCCATCCCATTCCGGCAATATAGGCAATGCATACTCAGTATCAGTGTAAGTTGTAAAATGCGCCTATGGCTAGGGCAGAATCAATGCTTGTCATGTCACATGAATAAACTCGTCAGCAACTCGATCGCAACTCGGCTCGACTCGAACTGTCGAAGTCGCACGAGTTGATGGCATCGGCTCGACTTGACTCACCTCGCGGCAACACTTTCTTGATGAGGGTTTCGGATCGCGTACGCTATCGGCTGCATCGATTATTCGTGATTCTGTGCTACAATTACAAGACAGTATGTATGTATGCAGTATTAGAATTTCCGGTCTCGATCGGTCATCTCTGCGTGAAAGTCTGGAAACGTGTTTCCTAGTCCTGTCGATCACGAGAGAGGGTGGATTAAAATCGGCTGCTGCGGTCCCTGTTCAGCTTGCGTCGTACGCATCAGATCAGCGGTCGGCGCCTCACAGTCGGTCGGGTTCAAGCGTAGATATTGATCGCGTTGAATTGGAAGTACGCCTGCGCGAAGGCCGCTGGGTTCGCATTAACGAAGCCTGCGCGAGCCGCTGTTAATTTCGGCAACCGCAGTGCGTGTTATGGACTCACTTGAGCACGTGGCGGGACACCCGGAGGCCGCATAGACATTGGCATTTCCGGCCCAATCGCCACCTGCGATACTTAGCATCACGGAGTATCCCGGAGAAGGAAAGAAGACTCACAGAGCGTGAGGTTGATGATGATGTTGTTCGCATCGAAGAACTGGGGGAAGTTGCAGTCCGTATTCGGGAAGCTGGCAACCGGGATGCCCTGTGCGATGAGTCAGCACGAAACCCGGGGTGACGCGCGGTGGATTACCCAGTTATCCGTCACCACAGTGCCCCTACCGTTGCGCACGTCGGAGGGAACGTTGCCTGCGCCGCGTGGCCAGAACCAGACGCTGATGAAAGCCGTCGTCCGCTCGATCGCGTACCACCCCCCGCCGTTGGCGTTGAACGCAGGGCCGTAGCTGAGCGATTGCCCGACGCTCACGCCGCAGCCTGAGTTCGCATTCACAGCTGTGTTGCAGTCTAGCTGCAGAGCGGTTCTGTGTGGGATGTGAGCATAAGGGGCTCGGGGTAAAGATCTTCGATAAAACTGACCCGGATTGAACCCGCGCTCCGGGCATCGTGCATCCTGAACGGGTTGTTTGAGAACGGAAGTCCTGTCATGCAGAGTTTGGGAGCATCTTACCTGGCGAAGTGTGCAAAGTAACGGTGTCGGGTCCCTGGTCATTTACACCTTCCAAGATGTCTACCTCGCCCTGATAAGATCTGATTGGGGGACTGACACATATAAGGGTCCAAGGAACTCACCCCGCGCGGCCAATTTGTCGCATCTGTCTCCCAGCTATTCAAAAAAAGATTGAGATTCCACATGTCACTGCGTCGAAATCAAACACAATTACATTGCTGGCCACGTTCTGTAAACTCTCAGTTAGGGACATCCCACGAGATGAAAATTCAGCTGACCCGCATCCTTGAGGCATATGGACGACGTCGAACCTAGACCTCAGTCAGCCAGTCATACGATCGAAGATCAGTGTTCTCGAAACGCACACCGCGACATGCGTCGAATACGAGCTCTTCGAGATGATCCGGACCGAGTTCCGTCCAACGGGGCTTGCATCGTTAATGACCGTCGTCGAGTCCGCCCGTAAAATGAAGGTGTTCCCGGATGCATACGTCAGATTCAACGCCCGCGCAGTGGCTTCGCTGACGTAGTTCCTAGAGTGGGATGTCCACACGTCAGGGGATCCAGCACACTGTGAGCTGGGACAGAGACAGACACTCGACCGTGGGTGGGATCCGGGATCGCCTCAAAGTCGAACGCATCGTAGAATCCCGTCCCAACAATATTCTGCGTGCGGGAGTACGACGCGGCGAGGACAGAGACGGGCAGTAGGATTGTGGTGGCAAGGAAGAACGCGGACAGCATAGTGGTAGATAATTTGAGTCCCCAGCTATCGCAGATTTATATGAAAAAACGGCGCACGGCTGGTAGAGTATCTATCATGTGTCCCCGGGCGGGCCTTGCAAAGCGAGAAGATGCCATCCAGCAGAGTGACCTGACCTGACCTCCGTCCGGGAGAAGTCGTACGGTGGCGTTTTCAAACAAAAATCCCGATATGGCACTGCGATGACCAGATCGCGGAGTGGGGGGGTCAGACAGCCATCGATGAAATCACCGGTCGTCGCAAAGAACGGGATGCCTGGGCGGCAGGCAGCAAGGGCCATCGGGCCTCGGCCCTGGGGGACCCATTTAACCGAGGACTTGACCTCAGTCGAAGTTCGCGCGGGGGTGTTAGCACGGGCGGTTGAAAATAGCTGGTGAGGTCTAGTACTAATCGGGAAACCTGACTCTGTCCGCGAAGCGCTACTGACTTGTTGCAAATGGAGAAAGGCTGTGTGCGATGGAGAGATGGTCCGGACGATAAGTCTAGCAGTTGTAGGCAATCTCTCCTTTAAAGCTGAGCGTGATGTATGAAGATCCGCTGGCAGAAAGGCCAGTCAGGTGAGAGTGGTGAACAGGAGGGCTCGCGTCATCTGTGACCTCTGTTTCACCTGGGGAGGATGAAATCGAGTCAGAATCAGTGATGGCTCTGTAGTCTGACCACAACTCTCAGGTAAAACGCACTTCATGAGCAATCAATCGCAGTCCCGTAGAGTTCATACTGCTCCATGTGAGCGTCGCGATTTTGCAGGCGCTTGCCACATGAAATTTGAGCTCCACCCAATCTTCAATGCGCCGCCAGACAACGAGAAGAAAATGTCGATCTCGCCATACCAGGGCCATCCGGCGCGATTCAGGCCTGGACTCTTCACTCGAGCCCAACTCGCCAGGGTTGGTGATCGTGGGCCAGGTTGTTATGGTCACTAGGTCCAAGGGCACTCATCAGGTCGCCGACTAGACTCATCCTAGTACCCACCCACGAGGGCCACCGGCAGATCTGTTTCTGCGCACCAAGCCCTTTGATCACCCTCTGATTCCCGCATGATGATGATCAGGCATCAAGGCACGTGCATGGCTACCCTGGCTCAAGTTTAGTCGCCGCCAGGGATGTTCACCGACTTCGAAGCGCACACCTGCGAGCAGCCTGCGAGTGCTGGAGCTGATCCAAGGAGCCGCGGCGCTTTGCCCAAATATTCTCCGCCGCGTCCTCCTACCACTGCTCGGGATCTACCAAACAATTCAGCGTGATCATCTAGATACCTCAGACCAATGCATCCTTCCGCGGCCTCCAATCCAATCCAAACGATCGACGCATACCCGATGACTTGGTATTTCTTGTTTTTTGTAGCGAGCCACAAAAACCCCGCTCCACAAGGGACTTGAGGATGATGCGACCCTGTCTCTTCCTCGAGATTGCAGCTAGGCCACGTGGATGCGAAGAGCGCTGAAACGCACCAAATTGTCGTGGCTGTCGTCATGCCAGAATCGGATCCCGAACAAGCTCGGCGGTTCTCTGCTGAATCCTGATGGTGATGCATATATGCACCTCGTGTATCCCTGCGAGCCCCAGCCTGTATGCACTGTGTCATACCACCCAAAGGAGTGAGAGGGAATATCAGAAGCAGGGTTCTTGGAGGCGTGCGGTGAATCGGCTCGGAGTCGAGTGGAAAATCACTTCGGCGAAGACTTTGGAGGTCTAAGGACCTTTCGGAGAGAAGATATACCCCCAGACCTTGGGTTTCTGCAGAGTGAATGGGGGACAGTTGAAAACATTGAGGTCCAAAGATACGGAGGACCCACAGAGATTTCGGAATTATGGGGAGATAGATCTCGGCTTTCGACACCACAGCAATCAGAGAGTCATGTCGACATGTCACGGGTCCGAGTGATGGGACATCAACAAAAGACCATACTTATCGGGGGTTAGGGTCAGACTAGAAAGCGTCGGCTCTGCCAACAGAATGCCTTGCTACTCAACACAAAGATTGCAAAAATATCAACAAAGACATTGGTCATAATTAAGCCCCAGCAGCCCTCGTCCTTTTCTTCTTTGGGCTATCATCCATATCAGGTGCAGCTGGCCAACACTTCTTTGGGCTGGGCGGCAGTGCAATCTGAGACTTGATGACGTATATCTTGACAATGTCTGCAACAAACATGTCCTCTTTCTGGCTTGTGAACGAGTAGTGGGTCATAGTGAAAGTGACTGCAACAGAAGCACTGGGGAGCTTTTTCATGTAATCCTATGGTGCGATGATTCTGCCCTCAAAATCATACATACAAAGATGATCAACCACATATTTGCCTTGATAGAGCAAAGCCGGTCACAAATGTCAAATTCGCATGCACAGCTAACATGCAGATGTGTGTAACTGGCAAGATTGATCAGAACGGATCAGAGGCCGGATCAGGTTCATCAAATTTTTATGATTTTACGTAATTAAGGGTCTGGAGAAGCCTTGACAAGCAAGGCAACCAATGTCTATCCCACTCCTTTACGACATTTTTTGCCAGAATGCAGCTTGTAAAAGGTTTGCCATGCCTCAAATAGATTTCCGCGGCCAACCGAAAATCAAAGCATAAAATTAGGGGCGGACGGGCGGGGGCTGCTGATGGATGATGGGGAACAAGAAACATGCAAAGAGTAAAAATTTGAGATAGCTACGCCCGTAATGTATCTACAACTTCGCATCCTTCGAGTCCCACATGCTCCAAATGAACCCGATATCGGGAGAAAAGCCGTCCTCCGCAACACGCTCATAGGCACTTTTCACTCGTTCTGCGCCTGACACATGGACAATCTTGACCCAGTTCTTGCCATCGACCATCAGATCCGCCCACGCGCGGTGCTGGCGCTCGAAGATCTCTTTCAAGGAGAGCTGGTTCTTACGCACGCTCAGCCACTCGGGCATGAAGAATTGTTCCATGCGCGTCCCGGACGTCCCATCGCGAGGAGCCTTAGCTGTGTTCGCACCCCAGTCGAACGCCCCCGCCTGTTCAGATGCTGGTGCCAAATTCGTCATCCCCAGCGCGACAGACGTCACGAGCTCGCATATACCCTTCTCCCTGCGCCCCTCGGCGGCGAACTCCGCAAACAGCCGGGTATTGAGCGCGTCGTTGCCCGCGACGTCGACGTAGACCCACCGCCGCTCGCGCGGCACCACGTGTGCCAGCTGCTCGTACGTGAACACCGCATCGTACAGCCCTAGCCCCTGCGTGAATGCGAGGTTCCGGGCCGAGGTGAGCCCGACGATGCGCACGTCCGCTCCCTCGCGCGCGCGACGTTTGCGGATCACGTACGCTGCGCAGAAGGCGGTTTTCGCGGACGCGCTGGAGATGAGGAACGCGGAGGCGCCGCGGTAGTTGAGCGTGTGCATCCAGTCCTCGAACCAGAACGCGGTCCAGAACAGTGGGCGGTAAAGCATCGTCAGAGCCTCGTCCAGCGGAGAAGACGAGTATTGCGGGTCGGTCGCACAGCGGATGATCTGGTTGTATGGTCGCCTATCTGTGGTGCGGTGAGGCCAGGACCACGCGCATGATGAAAGACGTACCTTCAGGAAGATGCGGCCGCGGGACATAAAATGCATGCTTGTTGACGTCGTTCGGGGACACAGGTACGACCAGGTATCTCGCCGGGGCAAAGTACCCGTACACCCTCTCTCCCACCGGAATCTTGGCATGAGCGGAAGCCACTACCGTACCAAAGCCCCAAACGGGGACGAGGCCATGCGTCTTAGGAGCAGCGACGGAACCAGCGATGTCAGCTGGCACTGGGTGGAAGTCGAAGTACCTGCGCGCCGTCGAGATGAGCTGATAGCCTGACGACTTTGAAGACAAAAGGCGACTGACCGGAAATGCGGCTGCTCTCCGAGCGCCTGGTACGTCACGTTGTTAGCGGAGAAACCGAACGTCTCGACTTTGATCACGATGTGGTTCGTCGGGAGAGTGCTGGGGAGCGAACTGCGGCCCACGACGATGGCCGGCGATTTCGCGGCTGCAGAGGGGCGTCGCACGCAGAGAGTCAGGTTCGGTTGCTGCAGGTCGATAGCCATGGCAGGCGAGAGAGAGAGAGAGCGCGCTTGACGGCCGGCCCCCAACGGACGCCGGGAGCGGTGACGCAAAGACAGTTGCCACGTGAAATCTTGTTTGGCAGGTGCGACTGGCATGGCCGCCAAGATCTTCCCCACATTTGAGCCTGTGGTATCCCGTTAAGATTAGTGCTGGGTATGTTGTGGGTCGGTTATGAGCAAGCATATGTATACCCTTTCATAACACTGACATTGAAAATTTCATGCCAATTAATGGTGGAAATGGCCGTGCTAGTGATTACTTCACACTCTCAATTACTTTTCTTTGCACAATGCACACCAGTCCCTTGCATGAATGGAGGCCACTATTCAACCCAAAAAAGAGAGACCGCAGCTTGTGGACACTGAACTGGGAAGTCATCATCATTAGTGCTAGCCCAAACCTACCCCCAAAAGATGACTCTGTTGACCTTGAACCCATTAGGGACGACTAATATTGGGCAGGATCACATCACAGCTTTGGGAAGAGCCATAGCAGTAGGATTTAGACTAGTGCACACGGCTGTAGCCATAAAAACCGTAGACTATTTTATGAATGGTAGCCATGACCCGGAATTGACCCGGGATTGAACTCGTGACTCTTCCAAAAAAGGAGACAGATCTGCAGCAATAACCATTGAGCCATAACAGCATACTCATTCAACACATATTGTCAATTAAAACCCTAACAATATTTGCCAAAAAATGTTTCCCCCACTTAGGGCAAGGAGCAACCCTAACCTCTAACCACCCGAAACCCCTACCAACCCTGACCGCTAACCAACCCGAACCCTAGCCAGTAAAAAAAAATGATTTTTGGGACCCGAAGCCCTATCCCGAACCCAAACCCTATCCCAAACCCGAACCTGTCTTAAGTCCGAGAAGGAGGGACACAGCAGGGTTTCACTTGTGGGCAGCTGATGGAGATCACATGATACATCACATGATCACACAATAGACTAATATGCATGGCTACAGCCATGCTATGGCTACCATTCATAAAATAGTGTAGGGTTTTTATGGCTACAGCCATGACATTAGTCTAAATCCTAGTGCTACGGGTGATCATATTATTGTTTCAGGAAGAGCCCCATTTCACGAATATCAGCCACGAACTGCGGTGGATTGTCCAGCCCCGCAAAATGGCCACCAAAATCCGCAACTGCAAAGGTCAAACTTTCAATCAAACTCCCAATCGTCGCTTGTTCTGAACACACCTTTATAGGAAACAAGGTTTCCGACCCGCGAAACCCACTGTTCAGGCCACGACCCGATATTGTATTCGTACTGTGTGAAGAACAACGGCGCGTTCGTCGGCGCTTTTGCATACGGCGTGCCGAATCCATTTGGGTTTTGCGCATATATCCAGGCGGCGGACTCAAAAGTTTCAGTGAGGTAGTAAAGGGATACGAGATTCAGAATGGCAGTGGAGTTCAAGACCGACGGAGATTGGCCAGCGCGCGGATCAGACCCTAGGAGAGAGCAGTCAGAGCGCTCTGACGGGGAAACCTGCTCTCGGGCTCACACAGTTTAACCTTCTCGCCGATCCAGGCCAGCTGCCCCACGGGGTTATCGTACAAGGCCAATCCAATGTCATGCGGCTAGGTGAATGTTAGCATCCGGTCTGGCTCCGGTTCGTTAATGGGATCCTTCACCTTGAAGGTTTGCTCCAAGAAATAACCGTTTCCGATAGTCGACCAAGTAGTGCCCCGGGCCTCCGTGACCTGCTCTGCCGGCGAGAGCGTGATGTTTGCGGCGGCGATCTCAGCCACGGTGGGTGAAGCGGAGGGCAAGAAGACAAAGCTCGCAGCGGATACGGTTCGGTTGAAGTTGCTGTACAGCGAGTACGCTACACCGCTGCCCTGCGAACCGCGAGTGAGATTCAATTGGGAATCGGAGAGAGAGGGGACAGGATAAAGATACAGACCCAGTCAGTCCCGTGGATAGCATACGCGGGATATCCTAGCACGTCGATCATCAGCGTATTGAAGACCCTCGCAGTGTCGTCCACAGTCCAATTGAACGGCGGTGCGGACGAGAAGACAAATCCAGGGAGCGAGGGAACGATCACATCGAACGCGACTGTGGATCCGTTGGAGTCGGTGAAAGCCTCCGTCAATGACTCGATGACGGGCTCAAACTCGTAGAATGACCCTGGCCCGGGAGTATTCGTGTTGGAAGGACTCAGTCATGGATAGAATTCCCACTCACCTGGCCATCCGTGAAGAAATAGCACGGGGATGGCGCCCTGCACGCGCGACTTCTGATGCACGAAATGAATGGAGAGATCTTCGATTTGGGCCGTAAAGTGACTGAATCTGGAATCCGTTTCTCAATGGACGATTCACACAAAGGAAGCAATGAAAAAGCACGCACCTGTTAAGAGAGAGCTCCTGCGCTGTCCAGTTATAACCATGCTCCCATTCGTACTTCCACGCTTTTAGGTCGTCGAGATCAATACCATAAGTCGGACTAGTCCCAGGATACAACGGGGCCTTGGGCAGCTTGGTCACATTGAGCAAGGTTTGGAGATGCGGAATCCCAGCACCGAGATCGATATGGAACGGTTTAAGGTCGTGTGTGGAGTTGTCAGATCCCAGTGCAGCTGAGATGGAGCTGAGTGCAAGAATTGTGCAAGCCAAAGAGGTAGAGGATTTCATGCTGGCTGTTTCGCCTTCGTTGTTAATGAAGCGTCGATGCACCTTCTCCTGTCAGTGCTTATGTAGCTTCGGAGATCTATAAATGCCACAGTGCTGCTGAGAAATTCTAAGCGTCCGGTGTCATGACGAATCTGCAGTCGCGTTAGCACATGTTTAAGTGGCTGCAGAAGATGACTGAGCAGATTCGGGCTCAAACCGAATCCCATCAGGCTATCGCACGCTTCGGCCCGCTTTCAGGATGAGTTCTATGGTAGATATCCGCTGTACTTCAGTACATCGGTATCTTCTCTAAGTTTCAACTAACTCCTAAGAACAATCGCCTCCGCTTTGAGATCGGCTCACACGTTCCCGTCGTCGATGTCCTCAGCGGACCGGCCGGATGCGGCCCAAAAATTGGCGAAGTGAGTGCGGTACAGGCTCGGGCCTGATGCCCGAAAGCCCGGGTACCCGGCCTTAGACTTTCAAGCCCGGACTGGACCAACGCATGGGCCGATCAGGCTCAGACTGGGACGTCTGTGATGGAAAGCCCCAGGTCCGGGCTAAGTACATGAATCAGCCGTGGAACCTGCTAGATCAGATTCGCATCCTCTTGGGTCTAACCACCGCCAGTGCCACTGGGACTCCGCCGGTTGAACTAAGACCACCGCTAGACATGTCGGCGGTTGCTGTCAATAGTGTACACCACCACTAAACAATTATGGTTTACTGGCGCATCAACAGAGGTCACAGGACAATGATTCGTATACGGATGAACCAGTAGGCTATGCCTAGCTCAATATCCGATGCGATCAATACATAGTATCGACTGATGTTTGCAAATCGAGCAAACACGGTCACGTGAGGCATTCAGATATGCAACAAGGCTGCGGAAGAAGCATCGGAAGTCATTCTGATGTCACATCAATGTTCAATAGACTAACAGAGAGCCGTCGGCGCGCGCCAATGCCCAGCCCCAATTGAACCAGACTGTGACCCGGTCAAGTGGTGTCTACCTGCATCAAGCACGTGTCCCTGGAACACAACACGTGCGTTTCTGGTCTTGTAACTTGCGACACGGCTCCATGCTCTTGCTCATCCCAGCTCGCGATGACGTCCCACTCACGCACCCACCCACTGGCGGTCCGGTTCGTCTCTTGGCCTCTGCGTCAGCCCCGTCTCGTGTCGCTGTCCAAGCGTTTCGCCTGGCGCAGCCGTTCATTTTCGCTTCCTACTCGTGACTGACGATGCTGTACTCAGCTTGGTCTTGGCGAACTCTGCTCCCGCTTGCCGTCTATTCAGTTTGTGTGCCGGGGAGCTCTATCATCGGGTGATATGCCGTTTCTAGCCTCGTCCTAGTCTGTCCTAAACGCGGTACCGAGGGCCTGAGTGCCAGCTGTATCGCGCCAATCGACGACCGGGCTTGTGTCGTGTATGTTTTTTTCTCATCCGCAGAATGCTAGGGAACGGCCCCGACGAGACCGCGTTGCGTTTGCGCGCCTGCGCGACGAGTTGGCCGAGGAGAGGCAGGGAGGCTGTTTATCCGAATCCAAGGGATGCTGTGCGAGCATGTGCGCAAGGATTGTCCTGCGCACCCACAATCGCTGGACCGGCGGACCGTCGCTTCCCGAGGTCTCGCATTTAGATGAATTCTGGGGAGTATAAAGGATGCACGCTCTGGCTGATATTCTCCTCAGTTCTCAAGCTTTCTTTGCACCGAAAACAAGGACTACCACAATGCGCACTGCTTTCATTGCCATCACCATCTACCTCCTTGCAGTAACTTTTGAATTGCTCGAGCGATTTTTGTGACTGACCCGCTTTGCCCGACAGGCGTCCGCTGCAATCGTGAAACGAGCGTCAGTGAATGACGTCGCGACCGTTGGATACGGTGAGCACGATATTCTCTTGTTCTATCTTCCGCGCGCTGAAAGTCGCTACAGCGACACTCAACGGAGGGCAAGTGCTCACAGAACCCGATGCCCAGCTGTGGAACTGAACCGTGGGACAGAACGAGCGGAGGATCTGGCGGTCCGACGACGACGGTGTCCACCCTCGATGCGCGTGAGTCTCCCCCATCCCATCTATCCCGAGTTTGTCTTCCTCCGAGTCTCACTACCATCTGCAGTCACCTCGGCTGTTGCCGGTACTGCCAAGAAGATTGTACTCATCTCAGGTCCTGACTGCTGTGTTCCCCGACCCTGAAATGCTTCCTCGAAGCTCACACCGAAATAGGCACTATCACGGGGAACGCTGTAGTGAAAATCGGATCGAACACCTCTCTCATCGGAAAGTCGGGCTCCGGTGAGTAGCAGCAGCCCAGAATCTACGAGTATTATCGCTGTGTGACTTACCCTGGATCGAGCCCTCGTCGGTGTCGGTTTGCGCGTGCTCAACGAGGTCAGCTGATTTCTATTCTTGCACGCTTCACACACTGATGATATTGATACACACTTCCTAGAAAAACGTGATCATCCGCAACGTCAAGATCTCCAAGGTTCTCGCTTCGGCTGGGGATGCGATCGGAGTCCAAGCGTCGAGTCAAGTCTGGGTTGACCACGCCGACCTCTCATCGGACCGCTGTCAGTCTTGCGCTTGTCAAAGCTGAACGGTGTGCTGACTTGTCCCTCCGGGCAGCCCACGACAAAGACTTTTACGATGGCCTGCTCGATCTGTGCGGTGGTTTTCCAGGATATTGATGCTTGCTGATCTCCACATGCACCCTTCCGCAGCACGCACGGAATCACTGGTGTCACGATCACCAACAGTTTCCTGCGCGACCACTGGAAAGCGTCGCTCGTTGGCCACTCTGACAGCAACGGCGCGGAGGACACTGTCATCACGGTGACCTTTGCAAACAACTACTGGTCCGTGTCCTTGTTCGAAAGTAGCACAGATTGGCTCATATACCGCACAGGCGCAATCTGAACTCTCGCACGCCCTCGCTGCGCTTCGGACACGCCCACATCTACAACAACCTCTTCGAGAGCAACAGTGACGGTCTCAACACCCGTGACGGTGCGTCCATCCTTCCGTCCTTCCATCTCTCCCATTCGTGTCGCGTTTGCTTCGGGTCTGACCGCTTGCGCGACCAGGCGCCCAGATGCTCGTCCAGAACAACGTCTTCGTCAACATCACCAACGCGATCAAGAGCACCGATGGCGGCTTCGCCGTCGCTACCGGAAACGACTTTGGCGGCGCGACCAACACCGGTGGGTCCAGCAGCAGCATATTGAGCTCGGAGAGTTGGCTGATCGTGTCCAGCCCCGACCGGCTCGTTCACATCCCCGCCCTACTCGGCATTCTCGCTGCTCCCCGTCTCGAGTGTCAAGTCTACCGTCTGTACGTGCCTTGCCGCTTCCCGTTCATCTTTATTCGTGGTCGTGAGTCCTGATCGATTCTGCAGCGGGTGGTGCCGGCCAGACGCTCTCCTTCTGAGCAGGCCTGGACAAAGAGCAAGAACAAAGGAAAGTAGTTGATCGAATGTATATACGTACCAGTGTGTCACGAACAAACAGTCTGAGCGAAATGAAGCGATAGCGAGTGTCATGATCACCGGCTGATAAAACCAAGTCCCCCTCTCAGCTCGGTTGGTAGAGCGCGTCACCAGTCAAGTCGAGGTCTGTCGTTTGAATCGGCTAGCAGGAATGAAGCGATGCCGTAGGCCCGTGGCAGCCAAGAAGCTTCCTAAGCGAGCCCTACACAGTCATTCGGCTTAGTCTTGGTCTGATGGTTTGATGCCTCTTCGACAAGATTTGATACGGAATATCGAATGAGTGGATTCATTTGAGGTAAGTCATGGTGGGAGAGAAGGAGGTGAAGACAGCCACCCTCACTCACATCTCTATCACAAGACCATGTCCCGATCTCCCGCACTCGATCGTTACTCCCAGATGGCAATGTCCTCATCACGTTTGGTCCAGCCGCACTTTCACTCCAGTCCCACACCATTTTGCTCAGCACAGAAAATCCTGTAACTGTCTTTGCAAACGATCACGGAAACGATCGCTCGCATTAGTGACCATTACCCGTCCACTCAATGACACTTTCTTAGGGGCCAAGGTATACGAATTCGTCGACACTCAAGTGGATGAGGCTCGACTTCCGTGGTGCAATATTCCTAGATTGAGACTGTGATGCAATTCATACAATCTCCACGAGTCTCGGTACAAATTAACGTGCTGCCATCTGCGCGGGTCCCAGCGTGCAAAGCCCCGATGATCAGAACGTAAGAGTCTGTCCGGCCGTGCTCTCTGTTGAATATATCAGATCCATACCAAGAGCAGAAGTTTGCATACGGACCGACTGCAGCCAAAACACTGGAGGTGGGCAGGAGAGTGAACGGATATGGTGGGGTGGTGAAGTTGCCGACGGGAGCTGTGAGGTCTCAGTCTAACCGCGCAAGAGGCGCCAAATCAAAAGACGAACCGGTGTTGTTAGCGCCGCCGAAGTCGTTTCCGGTCGCGACGGCGAATCCAACATCGGTGCTCTCGATCGCGAAGATGGTGTTCATGAATACGTTGTTCTGCACGAGCATCTGGGCGCCTGTGAGAAGGGTGGGGCCAACACGTATTCAGCACGGATAGTTATGGCTGGTATGGAGGGAGCACAGACCGTCGCGAGTGTTGATGTTGGTCTCGATGTCGCTGTCAAAGACGCTGTTGAACACGTGCCCGTGTCCGAAGCGGAGAGACGGCGTGCGCGAGTTGACGTTGCGCCTGTTTGCGCCCCCTCTCAGTCAACATCACCTGCGCCAACAACAAAGCACGCACCAGAGGTTGTTAGCCATGGTGACTGTGATGGCTACATCCTGCGCTCCGTTCTTGTCCGAGTGCCCGATCAGCGACGCTTTGAAGTGGTCGTGCAAGAAGCTGTTTGTGACCGTGATACCCGTGACACCGTGTGTACTGATAGAGAAAACACGTGAGCGATGTGTCAGCCGCCGGGACTGGCGGAATCGTACAGATCACAGAGACCGTCGTAAAAGTCTTTGCCGTGGTCTGATGCGGTCGATCAGTCTCGATCCACAAGCACGACTGCCCATGAGCGCTCACGTACCCAGGTCGGACGAGAGGTCCACGTGGTCGATCCACACCTGATGGGACGCCTGGACGGCAACCGCATCCCCCGGGTGGAGCACTTTCGAGATCTTGACGTTTCGAATGATCACATTTTGCTTCGCGCGCGTTCAGTCCCGGGGAGGAAGAAGCAAGGCATGAGAACCGTCGCGAACCTCATTAAGCACTCTCAGGCCAACCCCAACCAGAGCTATTTCGGTTGCCGCGGTCAGAACGCGTATTCGGACAGCCTGGATGTCACTGATGACTCACACGATCCCGTCTTGCCGATGACGGTCGTATTCGACCCGACTCTCACGACAGCGTTGCCCGTGATCGTCCCTAAATTGCGGTGAGAAACAGCGCATCATGATCAGTCCAGGGAGAAGGCCGCGCACCTGAGATAAGGACGATCTTCTTCGCAGTTCCTGCGACGGCCGAGGTGACTGGGGATTCGATTCAGTCTGCGCAGAAGGACGAGAAAGGAGCGCGGAATCTTTACGCGCGTCGAGGGTGGTGACGGTCGTCGTGGGACCACCTGAGCCGCCGCTCGTCCTGCGCAGGTCATTTAAATCATTCATGAAGAGGGAGCGTGGAAAACGCGTACCCTCCGTTAAGGGTCGCTACGCGAGCGCAGTCCTCTTCAATGCCCGTACAAAAAGGAGCGGCGGACGCGACTCACCATAACCTAGAGTCGCGACATCGTTGACAGTCGCTCGTTTCACCACGGCAGCCGTGATCTGTCCAGGCCACGCTATCAGCTGAAAACTCTGGCATCACAGCTGAACAAGCCATACTGCGCAGACTTGGAGAGCAATGGCGAAGAAAGCGGTCCGCATCGTCGTATAGTAGTATTTCTTGTCGAGGGCAGAAGAGTACTGGAGAAAGTCAATTTAGAGTGGACGTTTTATATGTCGCCAAATTTAATCTCTAATATTGGTTGGTTAATGGAGCTCAGGATCGACGGAGAGACGCGGGCCGCCGGTCCAGCAGGGAGGGAGTCGATTTGGAGACGTACATACAATAGCATACACCCATGTGCCACGCCAGTTTTGACGCCGGAGAATTAGGGCGGGTAATTGCCATTTGGTCCTGCTTTCTCGCGATCCGCAGATACTACCATCGTCGGCTCCTGTCTGTAGTAACTTGTGCAGGGACGGCGCAGCCCAATGTCATGTCATTTTCAAGCTGAGCCGATGCACGCTGGATCGGTCAAGTAGCCGAATTTTTCCGAAGTCAACTCCGATGGGTCAGCAGAGCGCTTTCGAGAGAAGGGCGACGCGTCCCGAGGAGACAGGGACGGCCTCCTTCGTTCGTTCCACAACGGCTGCAGTGCATCGCAACCACTCACACACGTGCCTCCCCGAGAGCCCAGACACCCAACGCAGCGGCAAGGATCTGGTCGGGTGCTCAAGCTTAATGTCACGGGTAGCGCGCCATCGAAAATAGCGTGCCCAAGAACGAGTCTGAAAGGACTATAAACAGCACAATTCCGGCTTGGCATCGTGCTATTGCGCGAGAATGAGCGGCACGGGGTCGAGCAGGGAACGCTCGTAGGTCAGACAGTCGGTATGGACGACGTCATTTGAGTCATGGCGAGCGTGAGTGTGGTGGGAGAGTGAAAGCAGCACAGCTGATCAGTGATGGTAGTCTCGTGCCCGGCTTATCCATCACTCACTCAAAGATCTATCCGGACATGTCCCTCTTCTGTAATTCATGGAAAAGCGGTCGTTGTATGAAATCAGGCAAAGAGCTGGAATATCAGTCTAGACAGGCTAATTGGCACGGTACTACTCTTGAACATGCCCCAGAAGATCATTTGAAATCCTAGTTCGGAGCAGATGGGTGGAGGGTACGAGCACCGCTTGATCCAGACACGCGCAGAGCCGCTGTTCGGCTAGGTCCTTAGACTCGCCTGAGTAGAACCCCAGGCCGCAAGCGGCTCTTCTGGGTGGGACCTGGCCGGATTGACGGGCGGATTCTCACAAGCGGAGACTCCGGCGCTTCGGCGTTCCCATGGAAGGCCCGAGGCTTGTGGCCAAGGCGTTCTCGTGAGCGCAGCAGTCGCCACCTGCTCTCCTCACCTGCACCCATCGAACAATATTATTGCCGGTCATGCACTGAAGGAAGACTTGCACGTCACGACTGTGGAATCCACCAAGGCACTGGGCACCAAGCACATCGTCATCTTTCACCGCGAGGAGACAATGCTCAGCTTCACGTCCAGTGTTTCGTCGACGTCGCATCAATTTGAAGGATAGGATTCGTAGTGTGCGATGTGAAAGATGCATGTAAGAGTGGTGCGGAAAGCCCGGCAGGCCTGCCAAAGAGAGATCGGGGGTCTTTTGTCCGCGCGAGAGCACGAAAGTCCACCCACGTCAACCCCACCTCGGACACGTCACGTGCCCTGCCTTCGGCAACACCTGACAGAGTTCATCTCGAGTACATACATAGTATTGTACAAGTGAATAGTTTTTCTGCGTCTTTTTGTATTATTAATGACTGCAGTATCTATTCTGACTCGAAATACCATTAGAATGGGTCCGAAGACGTGACCCTCAAGCACCATCAATCATAGAATGAATAATATGAATACATCCACTAAAGCATCATTGACTAAGGGTAAAGGCCTTGAACAGTTACATGTGCGCTTGTGCGGTCATTGGTTCGAAGCGCTCTTGCGTCTACTTTCCAGGTACTTTTTGCTCGGGACTCGTGCGGTGCATTCATATGATTCCGCTTGGATTTTGGAAACCGAGCCAAGTACGGACTTGACTCCTTTGCAACCTCCGACTCGCGTCCTGTACGTGCAAAAAATTTCCCCCTCCAGATCATCAATACAAAATATGTGCTTGTTGTTGGTCACAAAATTTGACAAATCAAAGGAGGGCTGAGCACAAGCAAAGGAAGAGAAAATACAACAGCAGTGAAACAGACACGTCAAAACGTGCTCGGATGGGCGAGAACACCAATTGAAATTCAAAATAAAATCGATTTGTTTTTATCATTGCTTTGAGTAAAGAATATAGTTGACATAAGAAATTTCCGCCGTGACTCGAACCCATGTCCCTTGCGGTTGGTCACGTGACGTGTCCGGGGTGGGGTTGACAAAGGGGGGTTAGAGCACGAAGCTTGAAGGTGCCGGGGTCCACCAGCGCTCTAAAACATTGATTTCAGCTCTCTGGTAAACTTGTGTTGCTACCCAGACGAAATCGTGCGTATATGGTAGATAATCCATTCGCACGAGCTCATGTGTAACTTGGGCCGCGAGAGGTCGCTCTGTCGGTTGATGTTATGACTGCGGGAGGTATGAATGGGGCAAGCGAGGTGCATATGAGACTAAGCTATTTGGCCTTGGCTTTCATAGGGATGGATGTTACCAGGCCACAAGGGTCTGTGCACAAAGTGTGCGCTGGACGATGGAGAAGAGAGCGCGAGCACTGCCACTGATGCGGCGATCTTGCTGCGAATCATCATATCCGATCCCAGTGCCCTCTACCTTTGAATATGGCTCTAGCGAGACGCAGTTTGACTCAGGGCCGATGAACTCTTTGTACTCGTCTTTTCTTGGAGGCTGAAGGCACGGTTGTCGGTCTACGCTGGTCGTTGAGGTGCATCACTCACCAGCAAGTTTGTCCTCGACCAAGCACCAGAGTGGAGTGTCGCACCGCTGCTGGATGGAGGACTATTCGAGAGGCATTGTACTGAAGAGGTCTTTAATCTTTTCCGAGGTATCCATCTTCATGTTTTCTCATTCACATGGAGGCTCAGTTCTGAACGACCTAAGGTCTGTGCTGGCTTTCCATAACGCGGCCGTCCGTCGACCTCGCCGGGTGTTCTCAATCCTTTCGAGGTTTTCGAGCCCCCGAAAGAACTTGATCTGAATCCTGTGCCATCATCCACGAACCGCCGTCCGACGCACCTCCCACCGCTCTGACCCGCGACAGCTACGGGGAATGTTCGACCAAACGCGCCAAACTGCCATGACCTGCTTTCGCGTTGTGTCGGTGGGAGAGAAAGGGTGATCGGTGGCTGTGTTGATCGGATCTATACACATCCCGTTTGTTCCGTAGTTAGGCTGCATCGTTGTTCTCCGCCGCCATCGCACTCGCTTATCACAGCATCGCCACCCCCGATCCCTTAGCCCGCGGCTGTCCCATTGTGGTGATTGGAGTGAGATTCGCGCCCACCCACGGATTGTCACGTTCGTACCTCGATCTGCCAGTAAAAAAGTTTTATATCTTTCTGCCTACGTTGCTCTTGTCGCCCACGTTGCTCTCTGTGCCCACGTCTATTGCGCCCATGTCATCTCCTGTCCCACGATACCGTTCTCTACGCGTTCCCACGGCCTGCTGGGAGCCATTGACCTTGCGTCGTACCCACCGACTCGACGCCAGCCCAGGCAACGTCAGCGCAGCACCTCTGACCCATCCCCGTTCTACACCAATTCGCCGTTGACGGAACCAAGCACGACTCCTAGCCCGATCGCACCACGGGCCACCTTCACGCTGTCCCAACTGATCACCCCGCCGGTGTCCACCACGACCCAGCCCCCACCACCTCCACCGCAACCCATACGACCGATCCTGACCCGTGCCATGCCCGCTGCTGACATTACCCCGTTCTCCGGTCGCCGTGATGGCAGAGACATGCTCACTGCCGACTGGGTCCGCGCGGTACGCCAAGCCGTCGATGACCGCCACTACACCACAGTCGAGGACCAGATACGGGCTGTCAACTACTACCTGAGACCGGACAGCCCCGCAGAGGACCACATGTTGAGTTTGGCAGCAACAGCGCCGGAGCGTGCATCCCTCGATGCGTACTTGGGCGAACTCAAGGCGAAGTTTCCTGGACTCAAACCGATCCGACGCACTGCAGTGTCGTATGAGGCGGAACTTCTGAAGACACGGATCACAGTGGCCGAGCTTGCCATGGAAACGGTGAAGAGGGGAGGGATCGAGGTATACATACAAGAGGACTTTGCAAACCAAATCGAGGATTTGGCCATCCAAGCGAAGGTCAAAGACACGCTTGCTGGGTACCCGCTGTGGAAGGAGAATCAGCCAGGCGTCATCATCAAGGCGCTCACACCGGATCCTGCAGACTGGGCAGACGTGGCAACACGGATCCGTGCAATTGCCAACTCAGACATCCAGGAGCTTGCGGCGGGACACCGCAGTGCTGAGAACGCGTTGCGTGAGCAACAGCTCCTCAAGGCCAACATCAACGACCTAACACGCAGCTTCAGTGCTTTCCGTCTATCTCCCGCAGCCCATGCCGCTGGCAGCCCAGCCCCTGCGATGGTGCAGACTCGTCTCAATCCTGCTCGGCCGCCGAACCCAGGCCAGCAAGACCGTCCCCGCCAAGCCCAATTCAAGAGGGACTATGTCCCGACTCCAGAGGAAATCACGCAGATCCGGGCGGCCCGCGAGAAGGTCATAGCGCTTGCGCAACCTGACACCCCACAAGGGCGCGTAACATACCATCAACAGAAGGCCGCATGGGCAGCCCAGCATGACGCTGCACGCGCCAACGGAAGCCAACGCCTCTGGGAGACTGGCTACCCGCTTGCCCCCGGAACTCAAGCACCGTGCAGCCGCGAATGCTGGAAATGCGGGCAGCCCCAACATGGGAGCACAGAATGCACTGCACCATTTGTTCTGGGAGACAAACGGCGCTTCAGATTCCTCTGCCACACTTGGCTCAGCCAGTCACGCACAACCCTGGCCACGGTACCGGTGAACATGGTGGACTGGACGTTGATTGGGGCCCCCACAGAGGACAAGCTGCGGGATTTTCAGGCCGGGCTGACGCAGTAGGCAATGCGTCTGCCCCTAACTCCGGTCATTTGGATGCGCCGGAAAGCTTCCACCGTACTGTCGACACTAATGTATTGTCCCTTCTTGAACTCGAAACTGTCGACCTATACACTGCGGAAGGGCCTGAGAACACACACCCCCTATTCAAACACGAGATATCCCTTAGTGGACCAAATGGCGAGCGCGTGCGTGGAATCGCACTTTTTGATGGAGCGGCTGGAGCGGGTGTGCTGGATAGCACATGGTTTGTGGCGAGAAAACACCGACTGGGCAAGATCTCTGCACCGCGGAAGCGACTGAGAATGGCAAACGGCGCCGTGATACCGTCATCGGTGCGCTGGGAAGGGACCGTTGATGTTGGCGGAGTCAGAATCCGAGCGGAGTTTGAGGTGATCAACTCGGGAGGTGCTTGGAACATCCTGCTGGGGAAACCACTGCTCTGGGCCCTACGTGCAATCCAAGACTTCGAGAACGACACGGTCTCTGTTTCGGATGGACTGCGGACACGGCTCCTGTACAACAACTCGAGGCGAGATGCCTCTGTGGGGGATGTGTTGTCCGCAACCTCCCCCCCGAGGCGAGTAAAGCCTATACCCGATTCCCGACTCGTTGATGCAGCTGTGACAGGTTCACAAGTTGACCCGATGGGAGTCCAGGTGGAAGACCACATTGAGACCGGGAGAATAGGTGGTACGGAGCAGAACAAGGACCAGCCAGTGGCACCGCCAGTGGCCCCAGAGGGGGTCGTGTTGTCCGCAACCAGCCCCGCAAGGGGAGATGAATGCAATGCCGAGAAGGCTGACCCAGAGGAGGATGCCAACATCGAGCTGGAGGATGAGAGCCCAATCGGAAGGGAAGGAGAAGGATCCACGGCATTGCGCATAGCCGCAACGGGGGACGTATTGTCTGCAATCTCCCCCGCGAGGCGAGTTTTGCTTGATGTCCTTCCGAAGTGGTGGGTTACTGATTGCGATATTTACGGGGACACCAACGACCGGGGGCAACGAGAGCCAGGGAAGAGAAGTGGGAGGAACCTGCCCATGGCCAAGGCACATGTGGCCTGCAAGGGGGTCGAGTCGTGCGTGGTCACCCCCGCGAGGCGAGTCCAGATGGCCCCTGCCCCCGAGAACATTGCTGATGCTCTTGTTGTGGGAACCGCCCCAAACAACGGAAACCTGTTTACCCGCCTCATGGACCCATTCAAGGCTGAGCGAGTCCAGAGGGTTGTCGCCCTCGTAGACCTGGGCCCGGACATCACAACAGAGGAGGAGAAGACTGTCAGAGCACTCGTCGCGGAGTACGCCGACATCTTCGCGCTTGCAGTCAGTGAGGTGAAAGTGGTACCTGGACGGAAGTACTCACCAAGGATCCCCGACGGACACGACTTTGGCACAAAGACCGTTAACCAGCGACCAATGTCACCACCGCAACTGGCGTTCCTTACAAAGCAAGTCGACGAGTTGGTCAAGGCTGGCATCCTACGTCGCATTGATGCCAAGGACGTGAAATGTGTTAGCCCGATCACAATGGCGCCAAAGGACCAACCAGATGGGATTTGCCTGGCCGAACTACTGCACCAACTGAACGACCAGTGCGTTGAGGCAGGACTGCCTGCACTACGAGA